TTTTTTATCGTCGTTCGTCGTGTCGTTCGTTCTTTTCCCCCCCCCCCCTGTCCACGCTTCCCAGGGTAGCCCCCCTGGGCCACTTTTATTTCCGTGTCGTGTCGTGTCGTGTCGTTCGTCCCCCTGCCCCCCCCCTCTGCCCCCCCCCGCCCAGGCTTCCCAGGGCAGCCCCCCTGAGCCTCGGACACCTTTGTGCAAGAGCCAGGGCACGCGTGCCACTTGTTTTCGTCGTTCGTCGTGTCGTTCGCCCCCCTCGCCCCCCCCCCCTGTCCACGCTTCCCAGGGTAGCCCCCCTGGGCCACTTCTATTTTCGTGTCGTGTCGTGTCGTGTCGTTCGTTGCGTAAAACCCCATGCCCCCCCCCCCCTCTGCCCCCCCCCGCCCAGGTTTCCCAGGGCAGCCCCCCTGAGCCTCGGACACCTTTGTGCAAGAGCCAGGGCACGCGTGCCACTTGTTTGGGCGCGCGCGCGGGAATCTAGGGGTCCGTGGGCTATGGGGTTCCCTGGAAGGCTTGGGGACGGGCCCTGGAACCATCCAGTGCGATGCCGGGAACGAATGTCCAAAGCAGCGTTTCCGAGGTTTCTGGGAAAGTCCGGGAAAGTAGTGTCACTACGGGAAGAGCCCCGTTGGAGGACAACCATTTGAAAATCTTGAACTGTGACAAAACACCAGTCCTGGGATTGGAAAGCCGCGAGTCAATGTTAGTTTTTCGGCCTGCCAGTCCTGAATCGTGCCAGAAAGCCGCTTCTGGGGCGTCGACACCGCGAATCAATATGACGGTCGCGCCCTGACAATCCTAAATCGCGACAAGTGGCCATTTCGGGGACGTCAACCATGAGAACCCGTGGAACTGCTGTAAACTGTTGAGACGAGCGCAAGCAGCGAGAAGGCGAGAGTCCCATGTTGAAAAGGGCCGCCTTGCATCCGAGAAAACTTTTGAACCTTTCAACACGAATGCGCGCGGCTTTGAGGCAAGAGCCACATTATGAATTGTGAATTCCGGTCGCCATCCATCCGTGAAAATCTTGCATTATCCGTAAGGGTTTCGCCCCATGCCGCCGGCTCCTTGCCTCGGATAGTGGGAGATACAAAAGCTAAATCATGAGGTCTGGGCGCCGCCGTGAAGCAGTGTCGGGACCTGTTTGTTTTTCGACCCTGACCTTACGGATCTGCGTGAGGGGTGCCAGCGAATTTCAGAAATGTAGCAAATCCCACCTGTTTTTGGACCCTGACCCTACGGATCTGCGTGAGGGGTGCCGCCGAATTTCAGAAATGTAGCAAATCCCATGTATTTTTGGACCCTGACCCTGTCGATCCGCAGGAGGGGTGCCACCGAATTTCAGAAATGTTGAAAGCCCTCTGGGTTTTCTGACCCTGACCCCGCCGATCTGCGTGAGGGGCTCCATCGAATTTCAGAAATGTTGAAAATCCCATGTGTTTTTGGACCCTGACCCCGCCGATCTGTGTGAGGGGTGCCAGCGAATGTCAGAAATGTAGCAAATCCCTTGTGTGTTTTGGACCCTGACCCCGCCGATCTGCGTGAGGGGTGCCACCGAAACCCAAAAATGTTGCACATCCCATATGTTTTTGCACCCTGACCCCGCCGATCTGCGATACGGGGGGGTGCCACCGGATGCCAGAAATGTAGCAAATCCTTTGTGTTTTTGGACCCTGACCCCGCCGATCTGCGTGAGGGGTGCCAGCAAATTTTACGAATGAGGCAAATCCCTTATGTTTTTGGAGCCTGACACCGCCGATCTGCGTGAGGGGTGCCACCGAATTTCAAAAATGTAGCAAATCCCATATGGTTTGGGATCCTGACCCCGCCGATCTGCGTGCGGGGTGTCAAATTTTACCCACCCCAGCAATTCAGACAACACGCTCAGGGCGTTCTAAACCTGCCCGTTTGGGTCTCTCCCCCTCGCGCGGTCCATCAACAAGGAACAGTAAGCAGCAAGAAGCAGAGTTGTAACAGTGGAAACTGGAAGCTGCCATTGGCACAGGAAGCTGCGAACCTTCGGCCTACAGCCTGGCGGCCCCACAACGGGGCCGGCGGATTTGAAAGACGAGTGTGCGCGGTCCTGTGGCGAGGGCCACATTTTGACAAAGGCCCGCCCTCCATCCGCGAAGCTCCTGCAGAGTGTGAGGACGAGTGCGCACGGCGCTGGGGCGACAGACACATTTTGAAGGTGGCCCGCTCTCCATCCTTGAAGTGGTTTCAAGCTTCAAACGTCAGGACCAGAAGTGGTGAGGAAGCTTTCGGCGGAACGCCTGGCCCACCCTACGCCTGGGGGTGCGACGGGGAGAAGCTATTTACAGGGAAGAGGGAGGGTAGAAAAGAAGGAGGACAAGGAGGAAGAGGAGGAGAAGGAGGAGGAGGAGCAGGTGAAGGGGAAGATGTGGGGAGGATGAGAGGGGGGAGGTAGGAGCAGAAGGTTCCCTGCCCGCTTCGCCCTTGTCGGCGGCAGCGGTGCGCAGGAGGCGGGGTTCCCGCGGCCGCAGCAGCGGCGGCAGCCCCAGCCGCGCCGGCTCGGGGCTCGCCTCCAGGACCTCGCAGGCCCGGCGCCCTGCAGGGTTGCTCGGCGGGTGCGAGGGGAACCGATCCGCGCGACCATGCGAAGTTCAGGAAGGAAAAAAAACACACAGACACAATTAATCGTCGACTTCCCAGAAAAAAAATGGAAAGTGGGGGGAAGACGAAAACCCTCTTAGAATATTTGAAAATATTGGGAGTCCTGTTATTCCCCATATCCTAAGGATTGGGGTTCTTGTTATTACTCTGACGCCTCCCACTGCTCCTCCTTCCTCCTTCCTCCCGCTCGCGCCTCCCTCCTCCCAATGATAATCACCAGATAAGACAAGACAAGATAAGATAGAGGGAGCCTCATGGTCACAAAACGCTGCCAGGGGCATCATTTGGGAGCCCCAAGGGGGAGCCACCCTGGCTGATCTCACGAGCCCGTTCGCGCCGATTTTTTGGTGGGACGTCTCAGCTAAATTGCCGTTTGGCCTCCCCAACATGTCTCTCTTGAGAGCCTCATGGTCACAAAACGCTGCCAGGGGCATCTTTGGGAGCCCCAAGGGGGAGCCACCCTGGCTGATCTCACGAGCCCGTTCGCGCCGATTTTGGTGGGACGTCTCAGCTAAAATTGCCGTTTGGCCTCCCAAACATGTCTCTCTTGAGAGCCTCATGGTCACAAAACGCTGCCAGGGGCATCATTTGGGAGCCCCAAGGGGGAGCCACCCTGGCTGATCTCACGAGCCCGTTCGCGCCGATTTTGGTGGGACGTCTCAGCTAAAATTGCCGTTTGGCCTCCCCAACATGTCTCTCTTGAGAGCCTCATGGTCACAAAACGCTGCCAGGGGCATCATTTGGGAGCCCCAAGGGGGAGCCACCCTGGCTGATCTCACGAGCCCGTTCGCGCCGATTTTGGTGGGACGTCTCAGCTAAAATTGCCGTTTGGCCTCCCCAACATGTCTCTCTTGAGAGCCTCATGGTCGCAAAACGCTGCCAGGGGCATCATTTGGGAGCCCCAGGGGGGGTCCACCAGGGGCTTCATAGTCACCAAACGCTGCCAGGGGCAGCATTTT